TCCTTGCTTCCAATACAGTCCTAAGTCTATTGACATTTTAAGCTCTGTTAATATTTAGTACATGTAAAATATACATCTTAGTGCATTATATAACAGATTTCAGAGTTACTACAAAGTTTTTCTTTAACTATCAATACATTTCTATGCTAAATACCATCCTCACTTAGCCTGCATATGATGCCAATATTTATTTCCTTTTAATTTCCAAATGTGGTAGGAATCTAAAACAGAGTTTTATTGTATGTAAAAAAACAAAAAAATCTGAGTCTATGACCCATAAAATTTTAATTATGAAAAATAAAGGTATTATCTTAAAAAGTCTTATATAACTCATAACTCATTTGATATTTTTAATCATGGAAATATTATAAAAATCAGATCAATGCAATTGTGTTTAAACCTTAGAAAGTTGATTTTTTTTCTTTTCAGTATTAATGCTTCTTTTCAGTATAAATGTTGGCACAATTTTCTGAAATTATTGAACTGAAAGCAGAAAAGAAAGGGTTGAAAGGCAATGAGAAGAAAGGGAGTTGCTTAACATAATGTTTGACCTAACATAGACAACAAGTATTGTAAGCACTGTAATCAAGTTTTCCTTACTGAGCACATCGAAAAGTTTCAGTATGAAAGGACATGTTATGTTTCATGAATTCAAGAAAAGAAGGCAGGTAACTGCTCTACAGGGGAGCATTATTTCACAATATTTGGCACAGATGAAATGCATCAGTGTGAAAGCATTTTTGTATGAGTTCAACATGAATGTGTATAGTAACAATATAATACATAATAAAATGCACACAATTGTAAATTATAGGCATAAAAGATGAAGTAGGGTAAAATTACACTCATTTCTCCTTTTAAGGAGTTCTCTGATGATGAGACACTAATATTTTCAAGAACTTTTTTCATTCATACATAGGTATTTGTAACTTTTAAAAGGGAGCTGATAGGAATTTTCTTTTGGGTACATTTAAAAAAGCTTTTTTGTTCATATATCATTTCCTATTAGGCAACTTAGATATGGAAAGTAGGAGAAATTCATAAAACATGAAAATTCAAGGATACAAAACTATTGCTTAACTGAAAATTCCAAGAATTTTCTTCTTATCCAATGGTTTAGTGGAAGACAAGATATTTCCATGAACAGGTATTCTCAAATGTCTAGCTATGCTGTTCTCAGGAATAAGCAATTATTAATAAGTATCATTCTAAGTTTCAAACATATAAAATATATAAATATGATTATTACTATTTAATCAGTCACTAGTCAGAATGATAATGTTACTATTAGCCATAGTCAGGTTAAGTAAATGATAACAAACTACACTCAAATCTAGATTAAAGGTTTTCACACTACATAAAATATAAATTCAAATATATTTTAACTCTAAAGGGTATTATTTTATTGAACTCAAACATAGTAACAGAAGAAATTATTTAGAAGTTCATGAAAAAAAAAGTGAATATGCTTATAGCCTGTTACCCTAACTAATGCTTCAATTATTGTAACAAAGTTTTACTACTGACATGTTTGATGATTCAAGATGTTGTAATATAGGGAGTTGTTTACGGTTGAACACTGAAAGCAATGCCTTTATCTGTGTTTGTATCTATAAATGTGTATATCACACTGATTTTTAAAAATCAGCATTTAGTCATATTATTTTAGAGCTGTGTATCTTAAAATGTGGGGGGATGAAAATTTACCATTAAGTGCTATGTAATACTTTTTTTTTGGTAATATCATTTATATAGTCTACTTTTGGATTTAAAGTAATATAAACCATTTCTAAGTACTTATTCACATTCTAATTAGGATGAAATGCAATATACTATTCTTTCATATCAACTGCCTAAAAGTAGAGCAATGCAGCAGTAAGACATTTGCATAATTTCACTTTGAGGAGAGGAGCTAAGTTTTACTCTAGGATATTCCTTTTGCTGATCTGTGAAAATTGTGGCTAAACTTCTTTATTTCTCAAGTACAATTCTTTATTTCTCAAGTACAATTAAGTACTCATTAAGAAAATTCTATATAATGGTTGAATGTTTCCTAAATGAAATCATTTGGAATAAAATGTATATAATCATTCCCTTTTGCGTATCAGCTTAATATCTCATGTTAGATTCTACAGAGATAGTGTTAACATAACAAATATATACATTTACTTTAAATATATAACTGAAGAACTGTATCTACAAGATAATGAAATGTTAAATTTTTATTATCCAGGTATCTTTACATCAGAATTTCACAAAAAAAATGTTCACATCAAAACAGAATTATGTTTTTCTTCCTTTCTGTAACAACCTACAGAATAGGCTTAACCAATAATTGTCATGTACTACTTTTAAAACACTCTATTAGTGCAAAATTATGAATTAAAATAGAAAAGAGATAGAATAAAAGAGTAGACCCCAACACTAAAAACTTAGTGAGACTGAGTTAAATTAGCTAATGGTATTCCAATTCACATTCCCAGATGCACTGAGTCTCACTTAATGAATAGAAATAATTAGTCACTGTGTAGAGGTCAATTTGAGATGATTCAGACATTAAATTTGAAAAAACAAAAAAACAAACAAACAAAGACTGTCAGGATATCTATGTATTTTATGAACAAAATACATTTTATGGAACCGTGAGTTTAACATTTGTAGTGATAAAAATCATTATTTTTATGTTGATATGAAAGTAACTGGGGGTTATGTACAATTACACTCCTTAGTTTTGCACTTCACAACTCATTAATGAAGAAGACAAATACCCTACTACTTGCTAGGAAATCATATTTAAATGCTCAAGAGCCTAAGGTCCAAAAGATAGTGATATTTTATTCAGGGAGACAGGCTAAGCTGTGTGATGGGTAAGCAATTCTGTCTTGTCTCAAAATACTACACATGACAGAGAATGAATGAACATCAGTATTCACATGCTGCCCAAACCTCTGAGAAACTATTCAAACCTTTATAAACTCTCTCAAATCCCATAGCAGAGTGATATGACAGAAGATAACTCAAACCTGATTTAGGAAGTACACAGACTGATAAATCTGGATATATTTAAATTAAGTACAGCCAAATGCTTAAATATCAGAGAAAACAAAGTGTAGTGCCTTAAAAACAAATGACATGAATTAGTATTTTAGTAACAAACAGCCCACAGTATGAGTAAGAATAGTGGCATGAGTGTCAGCTGCTGATCAGCCATTATAGGATGTCTTTACATATCCACATTCACGTTTCAAACCCCAGGAGTTTCAAACCCCAGGAGGGTCAGTCGGGTCTGGGGAGAAGAGTGGCCATCATGAGGAAGACAGGACAATTTTGGCAATATGAAAGAAGTTCCCTCTGCCAACCCTTTAATTTGGAACATTTTGGATTGTCTAGTCAAGATATTCTACTCAAATTAAATAGAACTAAATAACAAGTACTGTGAAGTCTCCCTTTATCATGTAATACATCAAGGTACACACACAGTAAGCAACACACTGACCAATTTAGATTGCCATAGCCAAAGAGAGAGTTTTAAACACAGTCATAGAGATTATCAATGGGTTGAAAAAACAACACCTATGTGAAAGGTGAAACATTCTAGGTTTTCAAGACAAAATGACTGAGAAGCATTTAAGTATGCTTTGACACTGTGGGTTGTTAAATATTTAAATGGTTTACTGAGACTGCAGAAACTCTAATCCTCAAAATCTTTAAGAACAGGAAAGATCCAGGCTATCATCGCAGAAGGATTGAATGTAGGCTTATTAACTCTCCAAGACCCTTTTAACCCTATGAGTTTAAGGTTAAGTGCCAATAAAATTAGTACAGCCTAACACTTATGGTCAGTACCAAACAGTGGGGGTGAGGGAAGGGGTGGGGTTACAATGACCCACTTTTTATAGGGCAAGAAAGCATGTGAGGCAATAGTCTGTCATAATCAAAATCCTAGTAATATTTCTGGGTTCTTTCACTTTTAGAGTTTAGATTTCTCATGGAAATAACATATAACATTTAATCAAAGTTTTTTTAATAATGTATCATTTTGAATAATTCATGGTTGTGATAACATTAAGCCATGATGAAAAGTAACAGAAAAATAAGTAAGGCAACCTAAGTTTCCCCTCTTTATACCATACAAACTCAAAATACTATTTTTTATATTAAAGAAGAAAAGTTGTTAAGTTTGGGCATTTTAGTTTCATACTAATCCAAATAACCCAAAATTAAAAAAAAAACAACTTTTATGACATATATATTTTTCCCTGAAAAATATCTGAATACTTGAAATCATAGTCTACAGCATGTACCAAGGTATGAATTAACATATGAAAGCCATAGATTCTGGAGAAAATAATTTTATAAAAATACTTAAATGCAACAAACAATAAATTAAATAAGTAATTTACTAAGTTAAATTAGAATCATTCAAATTTAATGTAAATGTAATTGTATATTTAAAAAAAAAATACACAGAACTATCCAATTTTTGTACCTTTGTATTTCCACAAAGAACTCTGGCTTTTCTTAAGGAATCTACATAGGTAAGTTTTACTTAATCCAGTTTCAGCATTAACATCTTTCTTTAGCAAGTACGCTCATGCAAGATCTTTAGAGTCTTGTTTTTCTCTTAAAGTAACAACATTAAAACTAATCCCAACCAAGCATGGCTATAAAGTGTCATTCAAACTTTCTACAATAACCAAATCAGCAAATTCATAACTTCACATAGTCCATAGGAACTACTTTCATGGTCCTGCACTTAACTGCACTCAGTAATTTGCATCCATAGCACTATGGATACTAATGACGGTGTTGAAAATACATATATAAACACACATCCCTCACAGTTAAGAGTCTGTCAATAAATTGTGTAAACAGATACAATGTACGTAATGATATCATATCCGCCACCTATTCACTGTATCAAGACACAGTATTTGTGTTTATATAGAGACTTTGAATATGTGTGTGTGCATGTGTGTACATGCGTAAGTGCAGGTTACCGGAGAAGGCGATCCATTCTTGCAAAGGGGACCTCTGAAGACTCCTTTAATGCCCCGGTAGTGCCCATTGCTGAGATGTCTCGAACTGATGACCAGGTAACAAGCCATGTGGGTCCGGGCAGGAGGCACAGAGTCTCAACTCCTCACCAGGCGACCAGTCGTGGAAATGCGGGCTGGTTTCTCAGCAGCAACCGTGACTGCCACCTCCCGAGAAGAAGCGGTCAACAGTAAGTAGGGGACGCGGCAGTTGCGCGTCCCCGCGTCTCACCCTGTGCGGGCTCTTGCTGCCAGTAGTAGCTCTTTGACGGCGGTGGCGACGATAGCAGCAACCACAGATCACTTAGGGGACACAGGGAGCCAGTCCACATGCTGCTCTGAAGAGGTGAATGCTCAACTGCGGGCCAGCGGTATATATATATATATATATGGACAACTTCCTAGGTCCACAGAGAATCAGCAACTCCCCCCCGCTTCTATCCCGACACCCCCCCTCCCTTCCACCTTCCCGCCTTCGCAGCAAGTGCACGCACTCCAAAGCTGGATGCTCAGGCCCGGGTCCCCATCAGCTGCCCCCAGGAGTCCGCGGACTGGGCTCTGAGCTGTGGCGCCGGGATTCAGAGCTTCAGCAGCAGCAGCCAGGGCGGGGAGAGTGGCGGGGAGTCCTTGGGAACGCCAAACCGCTGCCCCCGCTGCAGTGGCGGGGAGAGGACAAAGGAGGCGACGACGGAAGGGCTAGAGTAAGGACAGGGAGTTGGGGACACAGCGACTTGGGAACGGGAGCAGTTAGCGCCGCCGCCCGGGAGGCAACGGGTGCGCGGGGCGGCTGGACAGGGAGGTAACAGCTGCCGCTGCGGCGCCGGGAGGCTCTCGGGGCTGCGGGATGCGCCTCTCCAGCATCCTGCCATCAGCCTTTCCAGTCCCGCGGTCCCTCTGCCCTGTCTCTGAGCCAACTTTGCAATGTATTTGCGAGCAGGGGCCCGGGGATGACGGAGGTGAGCAGAGCTGGAGAAGAGCAGAAGAGTTTCCTTTACTCTCGCAGTCTGCTCTCCTTCAGCATTTCTTCAGCGGTCTGATCTAGCAGCCAATGGAATTGGCAGAAGCAATAGCTCCCCAGTTGGCTGCAAGGATGATTTGTGCAGCACCGAATAGGACACAACGATTAGATGTGCTATGGTAGATAATGATAAAAAAGGAAATAAGTTTTAGGTGGAAAACTTACATAAGGAAAAGAAACACACATACCTGCACACACACGATATAGAATTTTATAAATATTCGCCTTACAAGTCATTCTATATCCTTAAGAGGCAGATATTTTTGTTCTGGATAGGATGTTTGTGTCTTCATAACTTCCAATTACCCTTCAGAATTGTTTTCTAATGAACATTTATATAGCATTTGTTCTAAATAAAGCCACTAGGGAGCAAGTTGCACTGAGAATACAAGACTTGTATAGAAATGTATTCAGAAAAAAGAAAAGATCTTCCAGATACAGGAGACAGCCATGTCTTTCACTCCATTCTGTTAATGACCTAATGGGGTTCTGTGATTTTCTCTCACCTCACACAGCCTGTCTATTTGGGGGAGAAGATGAAAGGTTGCCTCAACACTGAAAGTAATGAAATGGGGAGGGCTAGTGTTCTTCCCTCCCTCTCAATATCCATTGGCATCCTGGTGGACACTGAGGATCTCTCACACTGACGGAAATTGGTAAGAGAAAGTAGATAATTTAGTTTTTCTATGAAGGAAATTCATAAACCCCATAAACAAACACAAAATAGTCAATAAGTAGAATTTTTTGTTACTATCCAATGAAGATTTGACTTTTGATTACATAGTTACACTTTATAGCCTTAACATTTTATTAATACATATATTTCTACTTTTAAGTTTTTTAGATTTTTTTAATTTAAATATTTATTTACTTATGCACACAGAACTGGGGTATAGGCCAGAGATGCAGGGGGTGAAAGGATTCACCAGCCACAGAATGGGGAGCAGAACAGGGAGCTATACAGAAGTATGCTACTGCAGGGAGCAGCAGGTGGGTCAGGAAAGGTCTGCCACACCATGTTGATCACCTCCTGGACAGGGATAGAACTCGCACTGAAGCAGCTGCAGTAGCTTCATTGTGCTGTGCTTTAACCCACTATGCCACCAGGGGAGGGCCCTAAACATATTTATTTTATAACCCAGATTTTTTATTTCTTATTATTTTCATTTATTATTGTTTTTATTTATTTCTTTTATAAACACCAACGAGAAATGAACATTTTATCTACTAAAGGCACACACAGGAATATTTAAGAGGCTTTAACCTGAATAGTCAAAAATTAAAACTATGCAAAAGTCTATCACCAAAAGAATAAAATATAATTAAACTGAAAATGATACAACATAAAAGTAAAAGCAACTGTGTAATAACATTAGCAGCATAGCTATATAAATAAAAGATGAGGCACAAATAACTGAAAATCATATGATTACACTTGTAAAAACTTTAATATGAGATAGTATTAATCCATCACCATGGAAATCAGAATAGTGCTTATTTTTTGTGTGGGGTATATGATTAAGAAAAGGTCTGGGGCAGCCTTCTTGAGTGCTGTCAGTGTTCCACTTCTTGAAGTTAGTAGTGTGTGGGCATATGTGTGTTTGTGTATGTAAAAATTCTTGGAGTTCTACACTAAAGATTTAATGAGATATTAACATACATCCACTGAAATGATCAAATAGAAACAATTGTACAGTGTTTGCCAACTGCAGAATGGGTAAAACTAAGGATATATTTGAATAGTAACACTATATAGCAACAAAAACAAGCAAACATACAAAAGAAAATACTAATCTCACAGACATCCAGTTGCACACAAAATAAGCATAAAATGATTGATTCTATGTAATTTTTATGTAAATTTAAAAAAACTGGTAAAAATAATTGATGGTACTGAAAATCAAGTTAGTGTTTACCTTTAAGAGTTAGTCATGAAAGGGTACAACAGTTTATTATGAATCCTTTAACATTCATCACATGATTTGTTTATCTCCTTAATGTATGTTGCACACTCAATTTTAAGTTATACATATTTTAAAATTTAACATGGTTCATTTGATGGGCAAAGAAACTAGAGTCCAGGGAAGCTTAAAAATATTCCATTCACACAAGCTAGACTAAAACCGGTCTTCCATTGCCTGATTTTCTAGTGGCATTTTCTGTTTGTTATATTTTCAGATATTTTTCCCTATGCCCAATCAAAGGTACATTGTTGATTTATTTAGTCATTTAGTATAAGTCAAGGGATAGAAGATCAGTACAGGTCATCTCAAACAAGTACAGAATGTGAGCTTAAGGACACATAGATTTTCCCAATCTATGTGCATACTAGTGATATGAATCAGTACTCTGATCCCCAAAACTCAAGTAGTCTACGTTCTCTTAATTCACCTTCATAGCTGGAGGGAAATGGACTCATAGAGGATCATATATAGAAGGAGGTCACCATTTCCTTAAGAAAAGTACAGACCTGATGCAGAGATAGGATTAAACAATGAATAAGCCATCACGTACTTTCAGGTAAGTATTCATTATGCTCATACCTACCTCAAGAAATAAAATGAAAGAGGGAAGGACCTTCCAACCAAGAGTTCAGCCTTCCTTCAACATAGCTCACCTAGCTGTGGTGAAACCTAGCAGAACCACAAGATCCAGTTGCTGCTGCCTTTGCTGACAGGACTATACTGCACCAAAAAGGGAAGCTCATCTAGTTTTTAAAAATTCATCAGCTTTTAAGTAAAAGAGAGTACTATGTATTCTAATTCTGTCATTAAAATACATAAATGATATGAAATTCTAAAACCTTCTTAGTAAATTTGTGAAATGAAATTTATTTTGTGAAATGGGTAGAAAGGGCTAACTGGATACTTTTCCCAAGAAGACACACAGATGGCCAAAAAGCACATGACATATGCGCATCATCACTTAGCATCAGGGAACTGCAGATCAAAGCCACAAAGAGCTATCAGCTCACCAATGTAAAATGCACAGTTCAGAAAGACCAAAACAACAAGTGTTAGAGACGGTGCTGGAGAAAAAGAAATCCTCATATGCTGTTGGCAGGAATGTAGGATAGCCCATTCCCTATGAAAACATTATGGTGATTCCTCAAAATGTTAATAATATATTTACCATATTATTTAGTAATTCACTCCTAGGTATTTATGTTATTAATGTCAAAAACACTGACTTGAGACCTCCCTAGTGGCACAGTGGGTTAAAGCACAGCACTATGAAGATAACCACAGCCACTGAAGCACAAGTTTGATCCCTGTCCAGGGATCAGACCCACATGGCATGGCAGACCTCTCTTGTCATGTCCACTGCTCCCCTCAGCAGTGTATTTCAGTCCATCTGCCTGTTCTGTTCTTTGCTCTGTCTCTGGTGAATCCTCTCATCCCCCACACTTCTGGCCTGTACTCCAGTTCTTGTATGCAAGAACTTCTTGTATGTTTTTAAAACAAAACTGTTCTTCTATGTTCATTGAAGCACAATTTACAATAGTGAAGTTATGGAAATAACCTAAATACCTAAAGAAAGATAAGTATATTAAGAGTGTGATGTGTGTGTGTGTATGTAGATATGTGTTCACACACACACAAACACAGAAAAATACTGGAATCACTGTCAGTCATTAAAGAAGATGGACTATAACCATTATGACAACATGGACATAACTGAAGGGGATTAGGCTGCCAGAAGAAGAAAGACAATTTTCACCCACATGGGACATAAATAAACTAAAGAACAGATAAAATGAACCAAAGCAAGCAAATCTGACTGCAGAACAGAGGTTCCTGGGCGAGACTTGAAGTGGGAAGCAAAGGGAGGATGCGACACAATGAACTATGGTAGAGGATTACTGGTGCTTTAGTGGTCAGTATTGTGTGGTAATATAAAGCTTAAGTAGTGTGACTCTAGACCCCTAAATCATATAGAGTATTGTAAACCAACATTAATTTAAAAAATAATAATACATTTTACAGAGAACTTTTGGATAAAAATTTTTTTTTAATATTTATAAAGTATTTTGGATAAAGCCATCAAAAACTCT